GAAAATGTTGAAGAACTCACGTAATAGGCGGTGACAGTACCGGCTGAGTTTCCGGGGACAAGCTTGAGCTGCATATCGATTTTTCCGAACAAATACTCATTCCTGGATTGAAAGCCTGAGCCAGAGGCTTTGTCAAGTGAGAGAGTAAGAAGCTCGCCGTTGTTGAGTATCTTAGCACGGCCGTCGCCCCATGTGATGTCAAAATTTTGGTAGAAGTTAGCTGTGGCAGCCATGAAAGAGCCAAGAAGAAGAGATATCAGCAAAGCCATTGAAGTTGAAAAAGAAGAAGAAGCCATTGGTATGGAAACNTCAAAATTTTGGTAGAAGTTAGCTGTGGCAGCCATGAAATAGCCAAGAAGAAGAGATATCAGCAAAGCCATTGAAGTTGAAAAAGAAGAAGAAGCCATTGGTATGGAAATAAGTGTATTGCGTGCAGAAGAGAATCGATAGCTGTGGGGTTCAGCAGAGGCTATATTTTTGTGTGGAGTGATGAGAGTTTGGCTATGTGGGTGGGTATTTATAGGGAGGTGAGAGAAGGTTGATCAGGAGAGAGAGGAGAGAGAGGAAAGAGAGGAGGAAGGTTCAGTAGAGACCAAGTTGTGTGGGATAATTTTGAGCTGGCAGAAATAGCTGGCTAATAGCGGTGGCTTTGTGAAAAGTGGATGCAAAAATGCAGTGACAACCCAGAGTAAGATTTATAACACGCGGTTTTGGAGAGTGGATGAAAAGATGATGTGAAGTTTTTGACCAAACAAACGTAAGCAAATGTCTTTCCGAAAAAAAAATGTAGCAACATAGGCCACGGTTCACCGACCCGATAAAATTCTATAATGATAAATTACACTAGCATCCCTACAGTTTGATAAGTACCATGCCGAATTTTGTGTGCAGTAGTAAAGGCCAGAGTTTTAAAATCCGACTCGGCCTGCGGGTCATCTCGGTGAACCCGTCACCCGGTGCCTAAGCCGGACCGGCTTTGTAATTGGACCGGTTTAGCAGTTGGCCCAATAGAAAACTGGTAAAATCGGCTCAAATCGGCCATTTTATTAGCCCGTTTAAACCAGATTTTTTTCGCAAATCAAAATAAACAAATTTCGTTTTTTAAATTTAAATATAACTATGGCCGACTTGGTCCACTTGGATCTCTCATCAACAGCAAACGGTGCCATATGGCAAGCAATCAAGCTAACAAGCCCAAGCCACTATATACCTTTGTATAAGCCATGTACTCTTTATTTAGGGTGTCCATGGGATGTACATGGTTAGACTGGCAAATTTTTTTTTAGATTGGATCTGACTAGTGTAAATTTAAGTTTTTATCCAAATAAATTATTAGACCGGTCGGGTTAGATTTTGGGTAGGAGTAAGCTACCCACAGCCCAATTGACGAGCATATTGGGCGGCCTTGTGAGAGAGCTTGTTAGACGGGCCTGTTCGCCGTTTTTTTTATGGATAATTTCATTTAAAAATAATGAATATTTTTATAACTTAATATTTGTGTAAATTATATTTTTGAATCAAAAATAGATAAAAATAAAATAATAAGTAATTTTATTTCTGATTAGGGATAAACTACGTCCAATAGAATGAATATATTACAACTATGCGAACATCTACTCACTTATCTATCATTTAAATTATTCTACTCTTTAAAACTTGTATGTTTAATATATGAAAAAAAAATTAATACATATTTATAAAATTTAAATTTTTAAAACTTCAAATTCAGATATTAAAAGACTTATTTTAAAGTTTCAAATTTAATAGTCTAAAAGTATAAATTTTTTCAAGTGACCTATTGGGCCATATAATTAGTTTGGGGCCAAACCCGAGTCCTTTTTTTAAGAATATTGGGTTCGGGTCGTGCGCGTTAACTATCGAGTCTATCAAGTTTCAAATCTATTTTTTTAGATCGGATAATTAAACTTGTGGACAACTCGACTCATAGATACCCCTGTGACCTTACCTGTTGGCTTGTGTTTCCGATGCGGGATCCAATCGAGTGTATCTAAATTGCCTAATATTCTTCCTTTTTTTTTAATTCTTTTTAGTATATCTTTGAGATATGTCTTATTTTTGTTTTTTTTCTCGGTCATCACATTGTTATTGATTATACAAAATATTCAAAGCTTATTAATTACTCAATTTTTTTATGCTCTATCTAATTATATTTTTGTCTTTTAATTTCATTTGCTATAGCATAAAGCATGTTATTTTTGTAACTATAGTATAATATTTTGACATATTTATTATTATTATTTATTATTATTAATTATATGACCGGTTGAATTAGTGACTCAATAACCCTTTGACCAGGTCCTTTTGCCAGGTTGACGTCCAGACTGGGTTTAAAAACAATGGTAAAGACATCATCTTTTTGGTAATATACTAATATGAACAAAATAAAAGTTTTAAATTTCACGTTTCAGTTTTTTTTGTTGCAAGCAAGGGTAGAATTGTTATTTTGTTAAAGTTTATGTCTCCATACTTACATAAGATTTTTTCATTATGATACCAAAAAATTATTTTTTAATATCATTTCTTCACTTTTGTCTGTTCAAAACTTGACACATGTAACTTTTTTTTTATTTTGTTATTTTTATAATTAATAGCTACAAATACACTTAACAAAGAGCGACGATTTATGAGCAATTTCGGTATAATACCGATTTTATGTTGGAGTTACCATTGCCCAATTCCATTCTTTAAATGTCAAAAGATCTTATTTTAGCATGGAAAAACTACTGTTCATATAGACTTCTCTTATTGAAAACTTTTTGGGTCAATTTACAATTTTTTTTGGCTTAATCTAAATGGGGTCAAGTTACAAAAAATGTTAGAATCGATCCTAAAATATTAAAATAGATTTGAAATAATCCCTTTTGTTGTAACATAAGTTGCTGGACTGATGACATCAGCTTTAATTGTATAGTAATTACGAGACAACACATTTTTTTGGTACCGTAGTTGTACCCTATTAGTTTATTGGAATTCAAAATATCTTGGTAAATTTTAGCATATTTAGAAAATCATGAAATGCGAGTAAAAAATAGGGTAAAAAATTTGATTTGGTATAGACCTTCCCAATAGAAAAACTCAATTTTAAATAAAGAAAAACTTATATTTAAATGAGAGTAAAATATAACTGTTGAATTTTTAAAGTAGGGTGAAATCTCACCATTAAAAATTTAAATAGAATTTGAGTATCTTTTGATTTAAATTAAAAAAATAAGTCTTTCTTGATTTGATATACGTATGAGTCTAACATTTGAGAAAATTTTTAAGAATTTTTTATTTAAATTTAAATTTAAATTTAAAAAATAATAAGAATTAGAGAAGCTCTAATTAGGCCGCCAAACTAGTGACCAGTGACCAAAAATTCAATCGATGTCAAGTTCATTTAAGCAAGAAAAGATGCCAAAACATTAAGGATTGACGCCCACAAGTTTAATGCTGTGAGCTTTAAGATGTGCCTAGAAGATGAATCGGCTTGGACACAAAGAAGTCAAAGCAATTTTGTTTAAGGGAAAAAAAAGTACTATGATCGTAAAAGTAAAAGTATATGTGATTATTGTAAAACTTTGAAAAATTTAAAATTTTATTTTAAATGAGTAAAACAGTAATTAGTTATTACGATACGGGTTAAAAATCCAATTTTTTTTAGAACTTAGATGACGAAATAAACATCACCATTGAATTCATCTCGCAAAAGTTAGCTGTCCAAACAATTTTCATTGAATTCCCAGAGAGTTTAATTTTTTCCGTTTTATGAGGTGATCAGGCGTTGTGTGACTAAAATAAACGTGATTAAATTTTAATCATAGAACCCGAGAAATAATTTAAAGTTAATTCAATAAAAATTTACTAAAACATAATACAGGACAAGATTTAATTGATTCAGAATAAAATCATCAAAAAAGACAGGATATGTGATTTAATGAGAGCCAAGCATTTAAAGGTATAAATAGGGAAGAAAATCAAATTTTCGTCCCACTTTTTACCTACAATTTGGGGAAAAAGGGGAGGGATAAATAAGAGAGAGAAGCCAATGGTTTTCATTCACTTCTACCTCTGATTTATGGCAATTCGACCATCAAATCTCTTCGGACCAAGAATAAAGGTTGTTCTATGCGATGAGAGCTACTTGTACATACCAAATATCACAAAATTCGCCACAATATTGAAGACAAGACTTTTGGGATCAAAGTTTTGAGGCTTGGTTTGGGTTTCTAGAACTTCTCCGATGCGGATATACGATACAAGAAGTAGGATTCCTTTCCTAACTTGGGGTTGAACTATGAAATGAATAGTATGTTAGAAATGAAATCCCTTGTATTAAACATGCCTAGGGTGTTAGCGAATGGAAATGGGTATAAGAATATATTTAAACCAAATCTTTCATGATTGGATTTTGATGAAATTGTTTGGTTGTAAATATTATGGATAACATGATGTTTTGGACATGCTATGTGTTTACATAATTCTTGTACCTTTTAAGTGTTTGATAAAATGCCTAAGAATGATTAAGTATGTTATTTGAATGGAAATGAGATAACATGCTTAGTGAAATGTGATTAATAGGTTTTATGAAATAATTGACATTGAGAAATTGGACATGTTTGTGGTAATTGTATATATTCATAATATGCTCATGATATTGGTATTATAATTGTGCATTATATTTGCATATGCCCAAAAAACATTGCATTCGTGGGCATTCAACATGAGTATGAGTGTGTGTGCATGAATTTAATCAAACACTATCCTTAGCGGGTTGATACATAGGCTTAAGAATGTTGGACCTAGGTTCGACTGAGTTGCACGAGTTACATTGAAAACAAGGGTTGGGAGTTAGTAAGAATGTCTAGATTATCACTCGGGTGCAAGACCCGGTAATTTTGGATATGCATTCTCGTTAGTATTGAGTCCATAAAGTGTGTTAACGTATGTGGAGTCGTTATTGGAAGTCCATAAATGTTGTGTTGGTTAGTTACCCGTTGGTAGAAGTTTATAAATATCCACTCCAAGAAAGACTCAAGATTTTATAAAATTATCATTGGATGTTTAACATCAATGACAGATAGCTTGAAATGCCCGGATGCATACGCGTGACATCACATATGCTATGGGAGCCGATGAAGAACTCGGGTTGACTTTGCATGTGTGAGTTTTATCTCATGGCATGCCAGGGATAATAGTAAGTTTGAATTACTAGGGTTTGACCCTTTGAATGGTGACATAGTTGATATGTATACAAGTTATGTGTTGGGCAGTGCTTCTGTGTAAGGGAGACTCTGCTCAAACTCTATTTTGATTATGATCCCTGTAAAGGGATGTAATGACGTGGTATTGGGTTATACGACATACATGAGTTTTTTCG